ACCGAGCCACGGATTTGGATGACCCTGATCTAGAGGGGCCCCCTGCTCTCTGTTTCCCCCCCTTTCCCGCAGGCGAGTCCCCGCATCTGTCCATTGAGGTAGCACCCTCTGGAAGGGGCCGCCGTGACCGGGCAATGGGGCAGTGTGTGGTGGCCCTCGGCAGGTCTTGGCTGCCCTGGTAGATGTGGAGCCCTGTCTTCAGACTGCCCTGGGACTTGGCTTCTCTGCCTGTCTCCCCGCCCTTCCCGCCACTTCCCAGGTGAACTGGGCTCCAAGCAATCCCTCCTCAGCCTCCATGCACAGAGGTCACCTTTTGGCTCTTGAATTCACCTCTCCTCCCCCCAGGTCTGTTCTTGTCCCTCTTCCACCCTTTAATCCTCAGGTAGGTGGGGAGGATCAGGGTTAATCCAGGGGCAACAGCTGTTCCTACTTCTGAGCACCTAATTGCTGAGAGGGTGGGACGGATTTAATACTTTGCATGGCAGCACAGGGCCTGCTGGCTCTCCTGGTCCTCTCCACCGCCCAGCGGTCGCAGGGGTCCTGGCTCCTGCCAGGTCGGCTGGGCCGGAATCTGGGCCCTCCCTGCGGTAACTTCGGTGGGCCGGTCTGGCCTTCCCACTCTCCCCGTGCTCCTGCCTTTGCTTTCTGACCAGCTGCCTCCCACCCACATTGTCCACACGGCCGCACCTCGGAGCTCAGGTTCTCTCTTCCCTGAACTTGGCCCTGCTGGAGTGTACACTGCCTCTCTTCTTCCAGGCTGGCTCCTGAGCTTGCCTTCACCTTCCACCTCTCTGCTGTCCTTAGCTGGCTTAACCCTGGGTCCTTTCTCAGGAGCTGCTGGCCAACTTGGTGTTGGCTCCCCGGCCCCTGCCCTCCCAACCTCCTGCCCCCTCCTCAGACCATCACAGGATATAAGGGAAAGTGCCAAGGTGCTGACTCAAGAGGAAAAATGCAATGCTGCATATTCATGCACTTCTCGTTTTTGTTTACTCTCAAAGTACGAAGAACTTTCCGTGTTCTTGGCTCCTTTTGCTCCGTGTCTTCTCATGCTGGCTGTACATGAAAAATGAGAGATTCTGCCCACGTTTGGGCAGAATCGCAGGCAGGACTGACCCAGCACCTCTCAGTCCCCTGCAGGGCCTGTGTCTCGGATCTCCCAGGACACTGAGGCTGAGAAGGAGGGCCGCAGGGCCAGCCCCCCTGTGTGTACTCCTCCGCCAGGTTACTCAGCCTCGCCGTCCAGGGGGGATGCGATCCTGCCCACTTTTGCCTTTGTAAGTGTAGGTATGAGTGCTCTCGTGAGCGAGAGAGACAGAGAGGAAGTCAGGTACCCCCAGCAGGGCCTCCCTGCTGTGATTCAGCCCCCACTTCTGTCAGCTCCCTGTTACAAGCCGGGCATGCCAGGGAGGTTTCTGGATGAAAACCAGAGCCTTGCCACACGGGCAGGCCTTGAGGAGCACCCCACCACACCTATCGTTTATAGGAAGCTCGCGATGAGAGTAATTGAATTCACGCATGGGAATGTTCGGACTGTCCAAGTGCCAGCTGCGCAGAGGGAGGAGGCCGCCAGCGTTTGGGATCACCCCATGGCTCTCACCCTTCTCTGTCCGTTGCCCTAACCTCGGCTGTCTTCCATGCCTCACCTGTGCTCATATCCTCACTCTGTCTCGGCCCTTCGGCTTGTAGGCATCTTCCAGTCTCTTTTCCTGCTCCCCCCACCGTCCTGCGGGGCAGGGGGAGAGCGTGAGAGAAATGGGGGGTTCCGAGGTCGGTCCGGTCTGAATCCAGCACTACCACTGACTAGCTGCGGGGCCACGTGACCTCGGGCATATTTCTCGCCTCCCCTCGGGTCCCATCATGTGTAATGCGAGACTCCACTTCCTCCCGGGGTGTCGGGAAGATCACTTGAGCTCTGACTCACGGGAGCGCCCGGCAATGACCGGCGCCCAGAGCTGCTCTCACCGGCTCTTCTGTTCCTCCTCGAGCCCTTTCTCTCTCTGCCCTCCAGGCACTGGCTCTCCTCGGCCTACACGCAGTTTGCAGTGCCCTACTTCATCTACGACATCTATGCCATGTTCCTCTGTCACTGGCACAAGCACCAGGTCAAAGGGCACGGAGAGGACGGTGGAGGCACCCGAGCCCCGGGCAGCACCTGGGCCGTGGTGCGCGGCTACCTGCACAAGGAGTTCCTGATGGTGCTCCACCACGCCGTCATGGTGCTGGTGTGCTTCCCGCTGTCAGTGGTGAGTCCCTGCAGAGCCCAGAGGGCCGGGGCGGGGCCTGGGGAGCCCAGAGTGCAGGCACTGGCAGCAAAGCAGGCCTGGGATGACACCAGGGGCGGCCAGCAACAGGGACGGTTTACCAAGCACCAGCCCATCCCTGGTGCAGAGGCACGAAGGACCTACAGTGGGCCTGGGCTGGGCTGGGCATGCTCAGTGCGGTGTGTTGGAGCTGTCGTTGCGTGCCTTCGAGCCTCAGTGTCTTCTCTGGTAGTGTGAGGCTGCCAGTCTTAACCTGCAGGACTGGGGGAGGGATAGAAGGTGACACGCCCAGCTCTGCCTCTGCACACACACGCTCAGCCCCGCAGAGCGCACGTCTCCGAAAGCCACGGCGGGCAAGGTGAGACCCCGCGCCTCACCATCCTTCCTCTCCTCCCAGGTGTGGCGACAGGGCAAGGGAGATTTCTTTCTAGGCTGCATGTTGATGGCGGAGGTCAGCACCCCCTTCGTCTGCCTTGGCAAGATCCTCATCCAGGTGAGAGGGTGCCTGAGGGTACATGCACCTGAAGAACAGGCCTAGGAGGGGCGGGCACTTCTGGGGACCTTCATGGATCCCCTTTTTTTAAAGTTTTTTTTTTTTTTGCATGTACTTCCAAGATAGAGAGGGAAAGTGAGAAATCACCACCAGCCCCAAACCCCCCAGGCCATGCCGCAATCCCTTCTCCTCCATTATCCTCTGGGGAATTTGGGCAGGCATGCGCATGCGCCCAGAGTGATTTTCAAACCGCAGAGTCCAGAACGCACCAGCACCCGCGGTGACCATGGGAGTCTAGTGCCCTAACCACCACGCCAGCTGCCAGCTCCTGGCCCCAAGGGATTCTTTAAAGTACAGGCCCAGAGGTGGGGGGCACTACAGGCTGGGGCCAGGGGAGGCAGCAGAGGGGGTGGTCTAGGGCCCTGAACCTCACACCTACCTGGAAGGAGGAGGCTAGAGGGGCAGAACGGGAGCAGGGCCCTCCCTCCTCCAGCCCTGCCACCCCGCTCTGTGTCTGCAGTACAAGCAGCAGCACACACTGCTACACAAGGTGAACGGAGCCCTGATGCTGCTGAGCTTCCTGTGCTGCCGGGTGCTGCTGTTCCCCTACCTGTACTGGGCCTATGGGCGCCACGCCGGCCTGCCCCTGCTCGCCGTGCCCCTGGCCATCCCGGCCCACGTCAACCTGGGCGCCGCGCTGCTGCTCGCCCCGCAGCTCTACTGGTTCTTCCTCATCTGCCGTGGGGCCTGCCGCCTCTTCCGGCCCCGAGGCTCCCCGCCGCCCTCTCCCTGTCAGACCCAGGACTGAGCTGGGGTCTGGGCACCCTCCTGGCGCTGCCCCGCCCTGTGGGGACTGGGCTCTGGGGCTGATGGGTCGGGGTGGGGAGCCAGGGCCCTCTTGCCTGACAGACCCAGGACTGACAGATGGACTCAGAGCGCCGTGGGGGCACCTGTCCTCAGGGGTGAGGGCCGGGGCCAGGGCCAAGCGATCAGGAGGCGGACCCCTGCGCTGGCTGGCCAGCCCCTTCCTGCCCACTCCTGCTCTGGAGAAGCTCTGGAGAATGGCACCTCCCACCATGCAGGGCTGGAGGGCTGTGAGAGCCGGGCGGGGGGTCCAAGGAGACCGGGAGTCGGACACAAGGAGGCCCCAGCCAAGGACATCCCAGCCCCTCTGCTGCAAATCCCTCTCAGCTCCCATCATCGGGGAAGGAGAGGACACCCTAACTTGCCCCCTCTTCCATGGGCCCCCCCAGAGCTCCTCTCCAGGGGAGGCCAGCCTGAGGAATCTTATTTATTTTATTTTATTTTATTTATTTAAATGCCCAAATCCAAACTAGTTTGTTGGGGTGAGGGAGGGAGGCAGCTGCTACCCCCAGCCTTGCCTTCCCAGTGCTGAGTGCCCCCGGGGCAGGTGGGAGTGCCCAGCCCCTCCCGTATGGCCGCACATCTTGCCCTCGGGCCCTGGCATGTCCCTGGTGCTACAGAACTCTCAAGGCTTCCTCCAATCTGGGGTCGGGGACCCTGGGAGGTGCTTTACAGACCGCTAATAAAGACGATCTGCGTGACCGCCAGCAGCGCCCTCTCTTTACCCAGTTCTTTGGGGCCTGGATGGAGAGGTGGGGGCTGGGGAATGGAAGCAGGATGACCACAGGGAAGGGCAGGGACCTGGCTGGCCACCCAGCAGTCAGGGAGGAAGAAAGCAAGGACTTATTTCTCCGCAGGGGTGGTGGGGTCAACACTCAGGTCACGCTCAGGGCTCTTGTCAAGGTCTTCAGGCCCCTTTCTGGCAGCTCCTGTGGGACATGGAGGTCAGAGGTGGGAGGTCGCACCTGCCTGCCTAGGGCTGGGAAGTGGGGCAGGCATGGGCTGCGAGCCTTACACGTGGGTGCAGAACTGGAGGAGGAGGAAGAAGAAGGCCATCACGAGGGTGCCCGTGAGGATGCGATGGAAGAGCTTGGAGTTGGAACCTGCTCGACACGGGGGAGGTGGGACCCTTGTCTCCAACTTGAGAGTCAAGGCCAACTCTCCTCCAGGCCCCTACAGGAAGGGAGGCTCCTTCTCAAGCTGGTTCTTACCTGAATTCACAAAGACCACAGGTTTCTCTCCGATATACTGGGCCACAGCCAGAAGCCTGGCTTGGTCCGAGTCTGGGTAATCAAAGAAGTCAGGTGTGTCTATGAAGAATGGAGACTCTGCTTCTGGGGCGAGCACTTTGGTACCCTCTGGACTGGGCGCTAGGACCCGGAGCAACGTCTGTGACAACCAAGCCTACCCCTGCCCCTGCCCCAAAAGGCTGAGACTGACTCAGGGCCCCACTGGGTCACACAGTCACAGCGTGGCTATGGAGGGGCTTGATTTTGCTCCCAGGGTCAGCTGAGCTCGCTGGGACAGGATGGGATGGAAGGACTCAGAGAAGGATCCAGGCTGGCCTCCCAGTCCTAAGGCTGCGGTACCCCTTGTTCCCTGAACCTCCTTCCACTGCTCCCAAGACAGCTTCCCACCTGCTTCTGTGGCTGCCAGCCCAGCCAGCCACACCCACAGCGACAGCCAGTACCACAGCCTCATGGCCCCTGCACTCCGATAACAATGAAAGATTACGATGAAAGATTACCAGGGTAGGGCTCTATGAGGTCACAACCCAGAGCCATTCCAATGGTGACACCAGGGTGAGGGGAGAAAGGATGTGCTAGAGGCCGGGCCCTTCCTCCAAGCACCCATCAGCAGAGGTAGGGCCTGCAGAACCTTCATCCTCTGGGCAGCCCAGAATTTAGAAATAGGACTTGGTGGGGCAGGTGCTGGATTGAGGGAGCTGTGTGTACAGAGCAAGCACGCTTTGACATCGGGGACAGGGCTACACACCTCCAGTTAGCCCTGGATCAACCGCAGGTAGCATCTGTCAAGCACCATGCCTAGCACTTCACACAGATCCACTCAGCCACTGCAGGAACCCTGTGAAGTCGGCACCCGATCCCCCGATGCACAGAAGCGAAGGCCAAAGCACATGGTGGAAAGCAATGGGGCAATGCAGGGGTGTGTGCTTTCCTCCTCAAGGCTCTTCCTTGCATTGCATCCCCAAATCTATGGGCACAGGGGTCTCCCCCATTCACCCCAGCCCCGTCTCTCTCGGGCTCAGGGGAGAATGTCCCTGGGGTTGAACCACGAGCAATAAGAGGTTTGGCCCACTAGGTGGCAGCAGTGTCCGTGCCTGGCGTCTCACCCCGGCTTCCTCCGGGGAAGCCCAGCTGGGTGCCTCCCAGCCCTCCTCCCGCTCTCCCACAGGTTGCAGCTGGTGCTGCAGGAAAACGGGTGGCTGGGGAATGGCAGTCGCGGGGTCGTCATAGGAGGTCCCGCCCCATTCTGAGGCAGGCCTCCTGGACATCTCCAGACTTTCGCAGCCTCCCCTCATTGTGCCTCAGCTTCCCCCTTGGCCAGTGGGCTCCGGCAAGGGACACCCCATCTCCCCTTTCTAGTCCCAGCTTTTCTCAGTCACTTCCCAACAGCCATTTTCACTCCTGTGGCCCCATCTCAGCTTATGAGTTAGCGCCCCTCTGATTGGCACATAGGCCTGTCTGTCATACACATGTCCCAGCCCACCCAAGCCCAAGGACACTCCAGGGTCTCCTTGGTTTTACTGCATAGATGCCGGGATGGGGATGCCAGTTTACCGGCCTTCCACAGGTCGGCTCTGTGGCTGCCCAGAAAGCCAGGCATGTGTCTGTACTGCGTGGGTGGTCCTCTGCCCCACAAGTGGGGGCTCCTTCCTTTACTGCATATCCAGGGAACCCCAAATCCTAATGCACCTATTCACCTCTTCTCCACATGACAACCCTTGGAGGAACTTGCCAGTCAGTTTCTATTTCCTAAACCAGAGAAAGTCCAGGAGGAAAAACAAAGGGGTGCTTGGGAAGAGGAAGGGGACTAAGTGGATGGGGTCTGCTGTCTTTGCCCCCATCCTTAGCTCTTCTAGGAGGAGGAGATGACTCCCCAAAGCCACAGGGCTGGGAGGGGCAGCGGGGACTGCATCCTGGCTCCTGGCAGGGCTCCTGCCCCAGGCCTGCACACAGCTGATCCTCGTTTAGTCTTAGTCGGGAGAGCGTCCAGACCTGTGACCTTTCAGGTGTTTTCATTGCTGTTGTTTTTAGCTTCCTCAGTTGCCTCCAAAGAACACAATGGGACCCAGTCTAGCAGCACAGCTAGTAGCACACCAGAGCCTGCTGGAAGCCACACTGTTGGCCACCAGTTTGGATCCCTAGCTACGCTGAACATACTGGGCACCCTGGATCTGAGGAGCTTGGAGGGCTGAGGCAAGGAAACCATAGCGTTGGGAAAACCTGTCCGGGGTGCGTGCGTGGCTCTCTCTGGTACACATTCTCTATGGTGGATTTTAAAAAATAAATAAAATGGGACCAACAGTTGGCGTAATGGCTATGACACTGAACTCCCATGTAGTCAACTGTGGTTCGAGTCCCGGACCTGGTGGCTTAAACTCACGCCGGGTGCGTGTCGTACATGCCCAAGATCCCAAGAGGAGAATGGAGGAGAAGGGATTGCGGTGTGGCCATTTCCTCCTGGGGGAGGGGAGGTAATTTCTCACTTTCTGTCTCTCCTCTCGGTCTTTCTGGTGAGCACACGTGCCCTATAGCAAAAACTTCTCCAAAAATGAATAAATCAATCAATAAAACTGCGGCCAGTGGGTGGAACAGAGGTTAAGGTGGTTGGATCCCACATAGCTGATTCCATGGTTAAAGCCCGGACTCAGTGGCTTGAAAATCACTCCAGGTATGTGTAGGCGCATGCCCCAAATCCCCAGGAAAATGGAGAAGAAGGGATTGTGGTGTGGCCATCTCCCATCTGTGAGTGAGCACACATGCCCCATGGCATGTGCTTTCTTACTTTGTCTCTCTTTCTCTCTGTCTCTTCAGAAAGTGCACACATCTTATAGCAAATATTTTCAAAGGGAGGGGACAGCAGGTGGTGTGGTGGTTAAACCGCTGGACTCCCACATGGCTGACCACAGTTCAAGTCCTGGATTTGGTGGCTTTAGAACCACCCAGGTGTATGTGCAGGTGCCCAAAATCCTAGGAGGAAAATGGCGGAAAAGTGGTTGCAGTGTGGCCATCCCCCCGGCGGTGATTTCACTTTCTCTCTTTCTCTCTCTGTCTTTCTCCAGCTAGAGTACATGCCCTGTGGCAAAAACCTAAAAAAAATAAAAAAGAAAGAAACAGGGCATGGTGGCTAAGATACTAGACTCCCGTATGGCCGACTTCAGTTTGAATCCCAGACCTGGCGACTTGCTTTCTCACTTTCCCTCTCTGTCTCTGGTCAAATAATAAAAAAAGAGAAAGTATGAATAAATAAATTAAATTAAGTTAAAAATCTAAAAACCAAAGGAAAAAAAGAAATTCCCAGGGTGCAGTCTCTCAAGGATCACAGGGCAGAGAACTCATGGATGCATATTGTTTCCGTATGGAGAGACAGCTCCTGTGTGAGGTTGTTTACACTTTTTATTTTAGAATTGTTTATTTAATTTGTTGTTGTTATTATTTTAAGAGAGATCTCTGCTATAGGGTACATGCAGTTGCCAGAGTGACAGAGAGAAACAGAGACCGAAAGTGAGAAATTATCCCCCACGGGGGATGGCCATGCTGCAATATCTTCTCTATTCTCCTCTTGGGATTTTGGGCATGCACATGCACCCTGGTGTGAATTTCAAGTTGCCAGGTCTAGGACACGAACCGTGGTCAGCTACGTTGGGAGTCCAGCAATGAAACCATTATGCCATCTGCTGGTCCCTGTTATTACTTTTAAATTTAACCAGAGAAAGAGAGAGAGAAAGTGAGCAAGTCGCCCGGCCCAGGACTCAAACTGCAGTTGGCCTTGTAGGAGTCCAACACTTTAACCACCATCCCACCTGCTGGCCCCAGTTGTCTACACTTGCTGTCTCCACTCTGTCACCTTTATTTTATTATTTTTTTTAAGTTTAAGGTATTTATGATAGCACATGAGCACACATGAGAGAGAGGAAGCGAGAGAGAAATGCACTCTTGGGACCAGCAGTTAGCGTAATGGCTATGTCGCTGGACTCCCACGTAGTCGACCGCGGTTCGCGTCCCGGACCCGGTGGCTTAAACTCACGCCGGGCGCGTGTGCATGCGGGCCCAAGATCCCAAGAGGAGAATGGAGGAGAAGGGATTGCG